ATTTAAATATTCAGAGCTAAGTTTTAGTGAGTGTAATATTTATTTTAAATTGCGAGAGGCCTGTTAGTATACCGCAACTTGCATTTTACTTTGCTCTGAGAATGGTAATCCAGAAGTATTCAATTCATATTAGCCTAATAGGTAAATTTATTTTATTTTTATTTTTATGTTTACACGACCCACAAGCTTGTAGCTTAAAATATTATCGCGTGTAAATAAAGGTGAGCAACTACACAATACAGGAACACTTTTGAAGGTCTATATATTTAGTGGCTCGTTTGGCTCGTTTGGCTTTTGGCTTTCCTATGAACAAGGGAGCAAACGAGCCAAACGAGCCGGCTCGACTTGATGGCCGATAGTTGAACTGAAGTGGCGCTGTATTCTGTAGCTTAGCCTATTGATCTATCTATCAAAAATCGTGTCAAAGCGTTAGAACTTCCCTCAGTTCATAGTTAGAAGTCGGTTTGATGGCGGTTGTCCAAATTTCAAAGTGATGCCTTATTTTGATTATGATGTATTTATGAGAGTGCAAAACGAAACATAGTTCAGTATTAGACTTATAATTACAAATCACAGTTAACACAGAATTTCCTTAACCGTAGACGTCGACTTTTACAGAGCACCAATGAACCAAAACAGAGGTATATTAGGTAATTTCTTGGATAAAGTGATGAATTAGTCCTCAATCATATTTAACAACATATATGCAAATCGAATGAAATGCTGTTAGGGAAGCAACGATGGTTTCATTATGTCGTGTAAGTAATTATTTAAATGTTATCATGTTATAGCGATGTAAGTTTTGCATTATAAAGTAATGAAAGTATTAGATTGGGAAGCTAGCGAATAAACCAGCTTATACTGTATGAGTGATGTTTGTCAGCCGAGTAATTCAGGGTAAGGTACAGTAAACAAATAAGTGCAGTATGATGAAGACAGTAGTCCTCATGGCGGCTGGTTATCTCAGTAGCGCGATGGCAAAATATTACAGCATAATAGTGGACTTAAACATATCAAACGATCGGCGAAGCTACAGTAGAAATAGTTTCGAGCTAGACAAGCATACAGCTCGACTTCGCGTAAGCTGTATAACTTAGACTTTATTCTACGTGCTGTGTTTCAAACTGAACACTGCGTGAAGTCAAAAATATTTTAGTCGCATAGTCGTCACTCGCAGTAAAACTCTCGGCCGCTGAAATAATTCGTAGTTCTTTACCCCAAAAGTAAACCATCAAAGGAAATTTTTGGCTTGTTAATTTGTGCTATTTTACGAATACCTGACTTCGCTCGAGTCAGATAACAATGACGTCTTACAAGCTAATTACTGTAGGGCGTTATCACAAGATTACCATACTTTACGGTTCGCTTATAAATGATGAAAGAACCTCTCTTCCATATAGTTCCTATAGTCTAAGTGGGTGCACGTAACTTAATGGCCCGCCGAGACAAATTAATGCAATGGCATTATATGCCCTTCCAAGGAAAAGCTCAGCTTGCGAGGCTCAAAAACCGGCTTACTTACCTGTTACAAGATGTAAGCAGAAAATCAGTGCTTTGCCAATTTTTTTTTTCTTTTTTTTAATAGCAAGGATAGCTTCCATGCCGAGGCACCAACTTGAGGTAAGCGTGAATGAAAACAGCACGATGTTATTTATAGAGTCTCGTTTTAAAATGACAGTGATGAATGTATTGAAATGAACCATATTAACTATAACGTAGGAAATGTCTTTTCTTCCTCGCATCTTTTGGCTGTGGGAATTAAAGTGAATCGCTTTAAATCACAAGGGCTATTCTCGTTATCAGATGTCTCGTCGGCTTCGCTCAAAAGCCATCAGAGAATGAGGTTTTCACTTCGTCATAAATTTCGAAACTTTCGAAACCAAGAGGAGCCCATCGCAACATTAACAGTGTTCAAACGACAGAAATTTGCTTCAAAGTACTTCAAAGTACTTCAAAGATTAGGTTTTCATTTTCATCGCTTAAAGTTCGATTCTTAACCCGTATCCAGCTGACTCACTAAATTTTTGGAACTTTACTCAAAGAGTTGTGTGTGTTTGAAAACGTAATGGGTCTGTGAGCGTGGAGTTTCGGTGCCGTTTGTCAAATTAATTTTGCTCGGGTGCGGAGCATTTAAAGAACAAAGAAACTCATTTATCTGAGGGTAATAAAAACATATTTACACTCGACAGCTATTTTCTATATCTTAGCCTGCGAAGCAAGCGTTCCCATACAAAGAACTTTTCCGCATTCTGACAGCGTCGAAGCAGGGGGTGGTGGGGCGAGAGAGGGAACACTTGCCCGCAAACCCCTCGATTTTGAAAAACCCGTTCGCTCTCTCGCCCCACCACCCCCTGCTTCGTCGAGTTTTTGCTCTCGCAGCCAGAATGCGGAAAAGCTCTTCGTTCGGGAACGCTTCCTACGCTGGCTATCTATAACCTTGCTCGTACTTCTTACTTTATCGTGAATGAAATCCTCCGAAAAAAGGGAAAACTACCTGAGATGTTTGACTGAGGTCAAATCCCGACACAGCCGGTTTGCGCTCGTTCCCAACCCTAGCCGCTCTTCTCTTCGAGGCCGATTGTAGAACCTAGGAAGGAGTGGAACGCACGTTCTTTTGCTTCTTCAATTGACCTATATTTTAGGCAAGAAGCGAGACAAAAACAACTTTATTTTGTATTTTATTAATTTTTATTGATTTGAAGCTACAAAAACTTCTTCCATGCAAGTCCCGTGTCGTTATTCACCATGCCACTACGGGAAGACTGAGCACTAGCTTTCGGCTCTTTGTAACGTAAACTAGTAGCTACGCGCTGATAGGCTCGGCACTCTCATCTTCCCGCCCCCCGGAGTCTCACTCGCTCCAGGGCCTAGGGGGTGAGAAGATGAAAGACACTGGAAACGAGGTTGCTACGCGCAGTGGCTTATCGTGGCCTTCCCTTCGACCAATCATTGCTCAACATCGAATCAGCAGTTTTTCGGTGTTAAAATCCAAGATGGAGGAAAGTCACCACCTTTGTTTTGGTTGTGATTGCATTCTAAGTGTTTTTGTTGCAAAAATAAATATATTGGTTTAGGCTTCTTATCAAACCTCAAACGGTTCAGTACCGTGCACAATGCCTCATTTCTGTCTGGTAGAACTTGATAGCGCAAAGGTCCTCAAGAAGGGAACTACGTCGGTGGAACGATCAAAAAATGTGAACAAGACATTTGAATCTCAGAAAATTTTATCACAGTTAGCGGACCCATGAAATTAAATCTCGCGGGAAGTAAACTACGTCAAAGAAATGTTTTCTTCCGTTCACTGATAACTGTCTAGCGGTAAAGTTTTTTAAAAGAGGTTAATTGCCGCCTCGGGGATTTGACTCACGCAAAGAGATAAATGAAGGGAATGAAAATTAATATAAATAGATGAAAACACCTGGTGTGCTCGAACAGTCTTGGCTGATCTTTTTGGGTTTTGGCAAAGATGGAGAACCTCTTCAATTAGGATCGAAAGAAAACAGTTTAAAGATCGTTAATGGGTTCAAAGAGCACTTTTTTCTTCGCCATTATGTTGATAACATGTGTTACGCTATCGACGTTTTGCTGTGTTCAAGGACAAAAACGAAAATCATCAAATGAAGAAAGCAGTGCCTCGGCAACACTGGTTGATAGTATCAACTCTACAACACGGACCGAGCTGCCACAAAATAACGACCAGCTGCTTCATGGAGGAATCATTGCCTTTATCCTTCTTGGCTGTATCGTGGCTGTGGTTCTTTTTGGATTACTTCTAACAGCTGTATACTTGCGAAAGAGGAATTCTACGCAGTATCCTTTGAAATGGGAAAAGAAGTTTGAAGAATCGATGGGAAGTTTTGAAATGTTGGACAGAGAAACAGCGAACAGGTCGCCGATAGGAAGACGTGCGCGCGGAAAGAACTTCGAGAAAGTGGGGGTTAATTTGATTCACAAATGTGAGCTGGAGACGATTTTGTAGAGCTAAAAAGTAAGTTTGAATTTATCGATTTCCAAAGTGTTTCGCTTTGTACAATTGTTTATCACCAAGACCTCCTTATCAAAAGCTTTACTTGCCTCTGGTCAACCCTAAAGGCTTTACAGTTTTGAAACATAAGGGAGGCTTTTTTTTAGGAAATATAATTTACGTGCAAATGTACCAGTTGTAATTGAGTTTCTGCTAGTTTGTAAGAACTACTTCACCATTATCGAGTTTTCTTGCCTCACCTAGGGCAGCTGAAGACTTGATGGCTGCGAACAGCAAGAATCCGACTGTAATCATTTTCATTGTTACATTGTTATTGTACACTATTGACTTCGATCGAAAAGCAATTTACTTCAGAAGAGTAGAACTGCTCGAGGTGGTAGATAATGTAGGTGATATCGCGTGATTTGCATAATGACGTCATTTGACTTCGACAACAAGAATGGTTTTTCAATTTCTTAACCTAAGAGCAATGAAGTTTATTCATATTGGTTGACCACGTTATCGATGTTTTGCTCTGTTTGGGCGTGTACAATCTCTTTCCGAGGGCTTTACTCTTGAAAATTGGAAGAGGCGGGGAAACTTCAACGGAGAAGTCTTGGAAACAGAATGTGGCCTACAACCCTTGTCGTGTTCGTTGTTCAGAACTTAATTAGTCTTAGATCGTCTTTCGTATTTTTCTCCATTGGTAGGCTATAGTTTTGAGGTTCCCTTTTCTTCACATCTTCTGACAGAGGTCTTCTTTATCGATATTATTACGACTTTTATAGGCGAGAACATTTTACAGTTCCGTGCTTGGTGGCCAGGCCTTTAGACAGAAGCGAGGCTAGAGTTGACTTTGTTATGATACAAACCTTGTTACTTTTCAAATGTAAATTGTTCTGTTATCATTCTAACTAGTTTCTAATCTCCATCATCACATGGTCAACCCAAACCTCGCTTCCATGCAGAGGTGAGGTTACACTTCACAGTACTGTCTATTCTCAGACCTTCGGTTAAGCTACGACAGAAAAATGCATTAGATATTTTCATATTTACTGAAACATTCTTATTTAACCTTTTGGGCTCCAAGACTGATGGATATCTAACTTCTCTTACCAGTATCAACTCTATTGTTTTTTTGTTTTTTTTTTAACAGCAGACATTCCTTTGAATTGAAGAAAAAGCTAATCAAATGGGATATTGTCCTGATACACCGCCAAATTCCCAAAACTAGATTAAAAGAAATGTAAGGCGCTTGGTAAGGAGAATTGATCTTCCAAGCTTGAGTCTGAAAGGGTTAAAAAGGAAGGAACAACATTCTATGCCTAAGTCGCTTTAAATTATTACAATTAGAATTACTTCCACACATCTATTTCTCGGTTTCTATTCTCTTGTTATTGTTTTTTTCTTTTTCCTTCTTGTTATTGGAATCTCAGTCCTATCTGCACTTCTCTCCATTACACTTCCTCTAGTTCTCTGGTATCTTTTTTCCTGATTTCATCGTCCACAGTCGCCATCCAAATATAGAAAAACAAGATGAGTTGTCACCGTTCTACACTGTCCACCTCGGTGTATTTTGTCGTGTTGTTTTGTTTTCACTCGATACAAAATCATAACCTTTCAGTATTCATGGCAGGGGGTCAACAGAATATGGTGCATTTCATGCAAAGAGCTCAAGAAATCTCTGCTGGTGGGACGCGGTTCTCTCTCGGTTTTTGTGAGAAATCTGCACACCTGGGTATCTCGCACGCGTTTAAGGTTGCGGTTTCAGTCAGCTTTCAACCTCAAGCGCTTGTTTCAAAGCTTCCTGTTGGAGCTCGCTGAGTTGTCCGAGACAAGCCTTCCACATGTCAGCAGCGCTCTGATAAAAGAAATAAAACCAACGCAATTGACATAAAAGGTATGATTAGTAGAATTTTACTGGTAAACTAATGGATATACTGCAATCTGATTGGCCGAACCATCACACACTGTCAGGCATTATAGTTTACCACAACATTTTCCGTTGTCGTCATTGGTTAAAACTGATCACATGGTACGATCTTAGGCGATCTGAGCGCGAGTATACGTCTGGCTACAGCTGCAATTCAGCCCGCAAACGTTTTTGCTTAAGTGTTCATGAAGTTTAGTACTACTTCACGTAAAGAAAATAATTGGAAACCATTACAGTATTTGAAGGAATTTCAGTCAGAATTCTCCTGCAACAATTACATCATTTGCTCTCGCTTTCTATGAGGTGACAGTTGATTCGGCTTTTTAGCCTCTTCAACTACCACCTCATGAAACTCTCGAGCACATAATCCAATTACCAAGTAGATTGCATGGTGTGAACTTACTTGTATTTGTCGTATAATTGCAAGAACTCTTTTCCTGGCGGCCTCGTCATCGCTTAGAACGTCATTCACAAACAAGTCACCAAAGATTTGAAGTATTCGCGGCAAATTGCTGTTATTCGTACCCAGAACGAGAGGATTGTTTCTGTTCAAAAACGCAAAGTTTACAGTATTTAATACTGTTGTTGTAATGTTTGTGGTTGTTCTTGTAGGTAGTCTTAAACAAAGCACGATCGCTTGATACCTTACTTGTAAAGTGAAAAGTTCACTGCATATGCCTAATTGCTAATCTTCAATAGTTTTATCTCCTTTATCCTTCTCCAGGCTTTCAGAGCGTGGACGATAGAACGGAGCACTTCCTTTTTCCGTCAATTCACAATCGTTGTTTCCTTAATTCAGTGTCTCAAATTAGCATAGTTGTGATTTTGCCTGTAATCCGTTCGCTAGTATTTTTACCTTCTCTACCACAATCTACCCCACAGCCACATATTTACCTAAGACTTTTAACTAGAACTTTTAGCCCCAATTTCGAAGTATAAATTCTCATTACTTATCACCATACATTTCTGTTAATGCCGATTGTGAAAATTTAGTGGCACATCATGACCAGGGCCGGGTTATAGGAAGCCGGTTAACGCTAACCCAGGATTAAAAGTTAACCGAAGTATTAATTTTTCTTGTACAAAAATGTTTTTCTTTACTTACGTATTGTATAGTTTATGATTATTAAAACCCAAAACTGAAGGACAAACAATATAAACGGTAAACCTCACCGAAAGGTTACTAAACTGAAATCAAAATTCTCGCTCATCACGCGTTAGCTTTATCAGGCTTTGAAAAACCCGGCCCGCATGGATAACCACAGTTGATGATTGTCGTCATTCTCACAACCTCTCTACTTGACCCTGTACCGACCTTGTAAGGGGAAATTAGATGTCAATCAATGTACTCACTCTTCGATCAAATCACAGATGTATCCATACACGTGAGGTGCTTCTTCTTTGTCTTCCGTTATCGGCAGTGTCGCAAGGAATGCCGGGATTACTTCACTGAGCGCGATGTTTCCACGGTTGTATTTACATATTTTTGCCACGGCGGAAATGGCGTTTTCTGTCGCATTCACATTTTCTCGACTTCTGGAATCTTCGGCGTTGATGACTTGGAAAAGCAATGGGACTACATCTGAAAAAAAGATAAACAGTTTATTTTAATAATAAATAAGATAGAATTACTTCTTTTAAAGCCTCCCTCACTAACACTAGAACTCAAATAAAGCCACCCACCCTTCCGTGCCCTCCCATTTCCACATCGGCCTTCCGAAAACGTGAAATTACGTTTTCGCTAAAATTTTCTGCTCTTCACAAAAATTCCCTTCTTCCAACAGACCTGTACAAGCCGTGATCTATTCCTCTTTAATTGGCACTAGAACTCAAACTTAATGAAATCACCCACCAACCCCCGCCCTCCCATTTCCAGATCGGCACTCCAAATACGCGAAATTACGTTTTCGTTTGAGTTTCCTGTTCTTTACAAAAATTCCACGCTTTCAACAGACCTGTACAAGCCGTAATATATACCTCTTTAATTAGCACAAGAACTCAAACTTAAAAATTGCCCACCAACGCCCCCCCCCCCCCCCCCCCCCCCCCCCCCCCCCCCCC